GATGGGGTCGTTGAAGGTCGTCCATGACGGTACGAGGACTGTGGGGGGGGGGCAAGATTAAACCTACGTGGTTAACTTCATGGTTCCCTTATCCCGAGCACACCTGCGCAAAAGGCACAGAGAAGATTCTCATTTACTTGCCTACTTCACTGGTCGGCACGGTAGTAGTTCCGTCGTAAAACTGTGCGGGTTTAGACGGGTCCAACGTGACTTGGTACTGGGTTCCCGTTGTCACGCCAATCGTCGACACCTTGCCACCATAATAATTGTGGATCTCGTACTGGCCGATCCGGTCGAAGTTGTCGTCAAACTGGATTTGACCAGACAAACCTGTCGTATTGACGTCCGTCACCATCTTAAGCAGCGGCTGAAGGTTTTTGTGAAAATTGCCGCCGGCGATGTCGGCCCAGGTCGTTCCAGTCACGGTTTTTTGATACTAAAGCAATGGCCGCCAGGAACTCAGCGTTAGCCACTCGCAGGTCTCTAAGCGAGTAAGTCGCACATTTTCTGCTCCATACCTGAATGAGGGCCTGAATCATGACATAAAAACAATCGTAGTAGAACCCGCTGCCATTCCACAATGAATTGAAAGTAAGCTAAACTTGTTTGGAACTTGTTTAGGCCGCAGGGCCGAAATGCACGCCCCCGTCTGCATAGCCCGCTGACCTGTATATTTGGGCTTCCTCGCCAGGATACGTGGTCGCATACTGCGCGACAAAATCCGTGTACTTTTGGCCGATGCCCTCGGACGGAATAGTCAAAAGCATCCCGTTCACTGCGTCGAGATCCGCTTGTGAGTTTGTCGGAGGCGTGCTGACGATTCCCTTTTGAATGGCGGAAAAGACACCCGCGCCGGCCTCAGACACGATCCAAACATAGGCGGGACCAAAAAGACCGATTTTACGTCCGTAAGGAACAAATTGCCGAAGCTCGTCGGTGTCGCCGGCCCAAATAATAACGCGGGCGTCGGATGCTGATGGTAGTGAGAAAATAAAAAAAGAAAAAACAAGATGAATGATGAGGCTCTTGCTTCAGATCCTTTGCGGAAGTCCAACCAACAGTCATACCTCTCAGCTCATCAAGCTTTGCGGTGTAGGTCCCCATGTCATACTGCTGCTGAAACACGATCGAACTTTGCTTTGTGTTTGCAAGATTAGCCGCCACCTGGTCGGCGATGCCCTTTCCGTATGCGGAGTTTGCATAGATAACCCCTATGTGCGCCCAGTTGAAGGATTGAACGAGTGACGCAAGAACGGCGCCTTGCTTTGAATCGGTAGGGACTGTGCTGGAGAAACAAAAGGATCATAGAGGAATGCAGGAAATTGGATATGGAGCGACGATGAAGGCCTCAAGGGTTTTGCACTCCATTTACCGAAAAAAATAGCGAACGTTTTTCATGGACAAATCGTCCGACGTTGCCGATCCACTGCATTGCAGCGTCTCAGACGTTGACAACATCTTCCCCGCTGCCAGACTTCCACCAGATGTCAAATCCCCAATCACAAAAATGTTCTGCTCTTGTACCGCCTGTTCGGCGCGAGTTGCGGACACAGTCGCGTTAAGCTGTGAGTCGTAGTGGTTTAACTTGATCTGCACGCCCGCGCCCGCGGCCGCGGACAGCAGTGCTTGCATTGCCGGGAGGGCCAGATCGAGTGTATTTTTCTGGGACGTAGCAAGCCAGTCGTAATTGCCCGTGAGAGGCTTGTGCAAGCAAGAATAAATTGGCAGATCGAATTAGTTAATGAGGTGGTACCTACAAACACGACACATCATTTCCGGGCCTCGTCCTCCGCTCCTCCTGCAGTGCAGTGTATGTTCTGTTGTTTCTCACCAGAATCGAGGCAAAATTCAAAGTCACCTGGGCAGCAACGCTTTGCAGCGTCACTGCCAGCAACAAAAGGGGGTATCGCATCCTAGGCGCTGGCGGTGTAGGGTATCAGTCGATGTGAGCAGGTGAAGTGTGTATTGGGTTAATTTTGCGTTGAGACAGAAAATGAGGGCGGATTCAAACCGCCGGAACCTTTAAGTCTCTTTTTCGGGCCCGGAGCGGAGAGACCAGGAGAGAGGGGCCTATCCTCCCTTCGTAAGTTCGATTTAAAGCGCGCTATTAGAGAAAAATAGCAGGTTGCGCGGGAGGTTTCCATTCTCGGACCATAATTGTTTGTTCCGCGAAAATTCTCAAGCGAATAAATGTTGTCGCCAAGAATAGCAGGACGACGATCATTTGATGGAATTTTGTTCGCTCGGAAAGGTAACGGGTGGAGACCCAGGGGAGACAGTAAGATGGGGCCAGGCTGGCGCCGGGAGCTGCCCAATTGCCAAAGCGGAGAATGCGTGGCGCAGTGCTGATGTGAGCCGAGCGCTTCCAGGCCCGCTATCGTCTTCAAGACCCCCCACTTGCCATCTTACGCCCCCGCACAGAATGTCCCCGCCACAGCAAAAGCAGCAACAGCCGCCAGCAGCGCCGCCTTCCCGCGCTGCTGCAGCCGCAGACGACGGCGATGAAGAAGATCCATTCATCACCCGCATCAAAAACTCGGGCTGCTTCCCGCAGCACGAGGCGCTGCAGGACTGCTATTTTGACAAAAAGGACTGGCGTGCTTGCAAGGACGAGATGAAAGCGTTTAGGGCCTGTTTTGCGAAAAATAACGCTGCTCAGCAGCAGCAGTAGCAGTGCCGGCGACAGTGTCGGTGATACCTTTCTGACGGCGTAGAGAAAGGGAGGCGCGATGTGGTCCGTTCCCCTCAAACTCTTTTTGTTCATTTCAAAATAATACATGTCGAAAAAAACATCTCTGTTGATTTCAAAATAATAATATGTCGAAGAAAACATTAGAGATCAATTGTCCGGGCGAGCTCTCTTGAGTATTGTCCCTCCAAGCTCAGGGCTCCCTCCTTGGCCTCTCTTCTTCCCCCTCTTGAGTATTGTCCCTCCAAGCTCAGGGCTCCCTCCTTGGCCTCTCTTCTTCCCCCTCTACTCTGCATTGTCCTTGATGCTCATATCCGACAAGTGGTCAATCTCGTCTTCGATGCCTCCGGCAGCGTGCACTTCGGTGACCTCTGGCTCATACTGCGACATATCGCGATCCTCCACCGCGGGAAGCTGGGGCGGCTGGCTTGTGCTGTCAGATGAGAAAGGGAAAAAAAGGCGCATAAGTGACAGGCGCTTGTAAGTGAATAACGGGAGCAAAAGATCCTGTTTCGCGGTGACACTTTACTGTCGTGGCGACATGGGTGCCTTTGGAGACGCCATCTGGCTGTTTGCCGCAAACGCGGCGGCCTCCTGCTTGCGCCCGTCCTTTTGATTCTGAATTTCTTTGATGATCAGGGCTGTTGCGAGCGAAAACGAGTTTGTTAGCCGCCTCCTTTTCTTTGATGGGCGCAACTTCTTCTCAGTACCTTTGATCGACGGGATGTCATTCGCTTCCTCAAACGCGAAATCAAACATTGTCGGATGTGACGGCTCGTCGTCCTCCAAGTGGTAAGCGCGCATGTACGGGTGCCGCAGCCCTTCCTCAGCCGTGGCGCGCTCCGTAGGCGAATAAGTCAGTAGCCGTTCCAGCAAGTGCAAGCCTTCGGCGCTCGCGTTTGGGAACTTCTCATGCAGCGGGACCTTTTCCCGCTTTTTCCACGATGTGATCAGCTTGTATACCTTTGCGTGGGAGAAAAAGAACGTAATCGGCCATAATAAACCTCACGCTCACAATAAATTCAGGCCTGCGTTGCCTCGCGCCCTTGTTGTTTTTTTTTGCTCTCACTTTGGCAGAACACAAACCCATCGCCGCCAAATCAGGCGGAGTGCCCAAGAGATCAAAGATTCGCTGCAACTGGTTCACGAAATCGGTTCCTTTAAATAGCACCTGGCGGATATACAGCTCGCCAAAGATGCATCCAACGGACCACATGTCGAGCGACTTGTCGTAGTGCTTGGGCGAGAGAATCACCTCGGGCGCGCGGTAGTACCGCGTGGCAACGTATTCGGTCTGCACGAGGTGTGCGTTGGACGTTGGTCGCCCGCGCGCGAGGCCGAAATCGCAGATTCGGAGCTCGCAGTCGCTGTTGACTAGGAGGTTGCCTGTTGGGAGTACGTGGAGTATCGGTTTCATTACTTCGTTTCGACTTTTGAATGTGAACCTCAAGCGCGCGCACGCAAGCCTACGCACCAGGCTTGAGGTCCCGGTGGACAATGCCAGCTGAATGCATCCATTTCAGACCCCGCAGGATTTGGTAGATAAAGTACTGGTGGTGCTGGTCTGACAACGTTTGGGTAGACTTTATGATCTGCGCGAGGTCGGCTTCCATGAGGCCCTCCACTAGATACAACTCGTTGATGTACTGCGGGTCCGTTGTGTTTGTTTCGGCCTCAATGAACTGCGCGACCTGTCGAACGGAGGTATAGAAAGCGAAAATGCATAAGCCCAAGTCAATCATACGTATTTGTTTCTCGCTCCTTTCTCTTTACTTACATTGTCATTTCCATTCAAATGCCTAACAAGCAACAGCTCCCTCAACGCCCGCTTAGCCAAAATCAATTCCTCAAAATTCTTGGCCCCAATCTTTTTGATCGCGACTTTGTCATTTGTTTCGCGGTTACGCGCCGTCCACACGGTGCCGTACGCGCCTTTACCGATGATCTTGCGGAACGAGTATTTGACAGATATAGGGTGCGAGAGCGATGGCAGAGACGTTGATCGTGGGAGTCCGCTTGCTGCTGAGGGCGCTGGAGCAACGTCGACGGACATATTTCTTTCGTTTTAACAACGGGGTTATGAGTTGGAAAGGAGGGTCGCGCAGAGACAGAAAAGCCAGAGGGGATTCTGCTCGGTTCTAAACCAACGCGAGGTGTCAGAAATAGCGCGCGTAAGCGCCGCGCGCACCCAGCTTTTTACACAACCCGGACCCTTTCACCCTTACCGCATTGAAGAACGCTCCAACACACAATCACCTTTTTCTCAATAGCTCCCTTACCAGAATGCGAGACAAAAAAAGGGAAAAACGAAAGCTCCTGGCGGGGCTCGAACCCGCAACCGCCAGATTAAAAGTCTGGCGCTCTACCGATTGAGCTACAGGAGCCTGGACATTCGTGAGAATCACGCAAAGTTTGTGTCTTTGTGAAACGCTTGACGTTTCGACTTATCAACTCTCCGCGTCGCGACAGTTCGGTTGGATCATTTCCTCCTCGCTCCATTAAACGCCGTGATCTTCAAGGAGCTTTGCCTCATTCTTTCGCGTCGGGAGAAGGTCTTGTTTCTTGTTTCATTGTACTATGGCCCTCGGAGTGAGGAGGCCTTAAAACAGCAAGAAGCAATGCTTACCAGCCTTGAAAGCTTCGACAGCATTACTATGACATAGAAGCTTTCAAGGCTGGTAAGCATTGCTTCTTGCTGTTTTAAGGCCTCCTCACTCCGAGGGCCATAGTGGTCCAGAAGCGCAACAGACGACGGGCGAAGGCCTGCAAAGTGTGTAAGGACTTGAGCCAGGATGGCGCAGTGCAGGGCCATTTTTGTTGTCGAACGGACAGCAGTCCGAATGCTTTGACATCCGTAAAAGATCATCATCCGGTTTTCTTCGAAGCCAAGAGCATGGCACTGATTCTTTCGAGCAAACGACTTGTTTAGGGAACGAATAGCCTTGAGATGTGCCAAGACCTGGCTCTCAATCGGTCCTTGTTTTGCAGAGCTTTCCAGCGTGGCGCTCGTTCGGCAAACTAGCAGATGTAGATCTAATTTGAGAGCTTGCTGGACAGGACCCCAGATACATTTGGTCGGATCTGTTGGCTTACCAAAAAGGTGAGAAGACGCAGTCTGTGGCTTAAGGTCGAATAGCTCCAGACAGGAACGGGAGTGCCATCGTCGTCCAACTTCTGAGCAAGCGCAAGAAAGGAAATGTACCGCACCAGATCCGCAGGATGAAAGATAGTCGGTATCTTCAGCATTTTGGATCCCGGCAGTATTCATGCAATCATACCTCCGGTGATGTCCCTGGGCCGAATCCAAACCTGGTCCGCGGGAAAGCCCAACGGACCCATTGCAAAGGCTGTCCACCAGTCTGTAACAAGCCTTCGCTGCTTGTCATAGCCAGGTGCTCGCTGTCTACCAGCCACGTTTACCTCCAGGAGCGCTGCAAGATCTTGTTGCGCAAAAACATCTTTCATTTGAACCGACCGGATAGACGCCAAAAAACGGCCGTTTACGGCTCGGTTGGCCGGCGCTAACACTACCCTGTCCTCGGTAAAGGAAACCTCAGGCTCATCTTCAATGCCTCCGTCAGTCTTCTTTGGTGCTGGGTAGTGTGATTGGGAGCTCATTGGCGGTGAGGAAGCGGAAAGCGTGGGATCCGCGTCGCGACAGTCATTTCCTCCTCGCTCCTTTAAGGCGTAATCTTCAAGCGCTTTGCCTCCTTCTTTCGCGGCGGGGTAGGGTCTTGTTTCATTGTACGGAAGTGTATATGGAGAGCCTGGAGATCACCGAACCTGCGCAGGTCGCAGCTGGTGGTCACTTCCTGCCGAATGGCTCGCCTGCATGGGCCGTCAATGGCAGCGAGCCACAACAACAGCCGCTAGAAAGGACAGTTTATAACGTCAAATCAGACCCGGTGTCGTCGTCAGCCGTCAATGGTACAGACCCCGGCACCGTCAAACCGCCGCCGACAAGGTCCAAACCCGCCGCCGAAGCAAAAATATGCTACTGCGACGGACACATCCAAATCGACAACCCACAGCTCCAGCCGCCACTAGTTTGCGTAGCATGCAGCAACCGGATCCACCAGTCCTGCGTAGTGCTGATGAAGTCCTGGGCGCGCGAAAACATGCCGCTGCTCGGCGATGACTTGTATCATTTTCGGTGCCGGCGATGTACGCGCGGGAAGGAGCGCATGAAGCGGTTGGCGCTCACGTGGGTGGAAGTTACGCACTTGGCGCTGTTTAATCTATCGCATTCGACCGCGCCAAGGAAAACCAACGACGAAGGGTTGTTGTTTTACTCGTGGCATGATATATGCCGGTTTATTGATCAGAACTGGAAGAGGTTTTGGTTGAAGCCGCGGACGGTGACGTGGGAAAACACTGTTGCGAGCTGTCTGTCGACGCACAAGCAGTTTGTGGCGGGAATCAAACAGCCGTCGCATGATCAAGGCCTGTGGGCGTTGAGTAACTTGACGCTTCCGTCAATGGGCGAGCATGGAAAGCGCGCCCTACCGTCGTCAGAGATCATGATTATTGCCGACGGGAGCCTGCAGCCATTCGCGCGCGCTAAACCAAAAAAGAAACGTCTCGCGGAAGAGCTCGAAAATCAATCCGGACATGCGGCGGGTGCCAGTGATACGGCTAAAGTACCCGCTAAGAAGCAAAAAACGCTCGGTCGCAGTCAATCAAACACACCGCTTGACGAAGCGAGCAAAGGCACCAACAGCAGCAACAGCAAGCCGCGGAAGAAAGTAAAGAAAAAACAGGACGAGCAGCCGGAAGAGCCAGAAGAGTACATTGACCCCGCGACGGCGATAGAGCTCTACCGCGATGTCGATAACCCGCGCGCGCCCGTAATGATGGCCCAAGATACCACGCACCGCGCGCGGCAGGTCAACGTCACCGACGGCGGACTGACCGTGACAACCGACGCCGGCTACTGCATGGCAAAAGCCACGCACGGCGTATGGGAAGGCAAATGGTACTACGAGGCGATTATCAATGACCATCCGGGACACACGCGCATAGGCTGGTCGCAAATCAGCGGGGATTTGCAGGCGCCCTGCGGGTATGACCAATTTAGTTTCGGGTTTCGCGACTCGCCTGGGACGCTATTTCACCAAAGCCAGCGCAAAAAAGACGCACCGGATATGTACGCGGCGGGGTATGGACCCGGCGACGTCCTCGGCATGTCGATCGACCTACCCGAGTTGCCAGACATCACGGACCTCCTTCCACGACTATGGGACCGCACCTCACCCTACATGCCGTACCGGGCGCGCGGCCCGCTGACCGTAGCACAAGACAGCGAGGTTCGGTTTTGGAAAAACGGCGAGTGTTTGGGCGTTGCGTTCAGGGATTTACCACGCGGGAAATACCACCCGGCAATATCGCTGTACCGCGGGGCGAGCGTGACGCTGAATTTTGGGCCCGATTTCCGGTTTCCGCTGCCGGACGGGTATCGGCCGATGTCGGAATCGAATGAGCTGCCGAGGTGGGCTGAGATTGCCGATGCTGCTGAGCGTGCTGCGGACGCGGGTGGTGGTGCTATTGTTGTTGGCGCGCCTGGTGACGAGGACATGGTGGATGCGGTGGATGTGGGAATACCTGCTGCGCCAGCAGCGGCGGTGGCTGCTAGTGCCGATGATGCACCCGTCGTCGCTGGAGACGACGACGAGAGAAACGCCACGCCAGCGCCTACATTCTCTAGCGCCGACGGCGAGGGCGATGAAGAAGAGGCCGAGGACGACGACGAAGCCGACGCCGAAGGCGAGGACGATGATGAGGACGATGAAGACGAAGACACAACAACCATCTCTCCATCCATCGGGAAAATGGACCCAGACGACGTGTCCGGCGTAGCCGCGCTGCTGAGCCTCGCTACAGCAGGCTCAAATCCCAGTCTTCCATCACCGTCAATACCACCACCACTACCACCACTAGCGCCAGTATCTCCAACCAACACCCTCCTTCTCGCGCTCGAAATCGACAAAAAGGAAGCTGAAGTCGTCGACCTCATTCGCCGCAGCTCGCTGCCTGAAAACGACATGGACCACAGCGGCGGCGGTTCTGCCAGAGTTGGCGTATCGACCAATCAGAATCAGCCGTCCTCAGGCCCGCCGTGATGTGGGGAGCGGTCTGGTGGGTATGGAGAGCCAGCCCATCAGGGTTTGAGTCAGCTGGGCGTTAAAAAAATAGGAGTATTAGGTTAAATTCTTAGCGACCCGGAAACTGGTTTGTTAAAAGTGAAAACCGGCAGATAATTTGATATGCAATTTATTCTCTTCATATTTTCTTTCACTTAAACACAAATTGACTGGACAGGGGGCGGGGGAAAACTACAAAGACGTAGAGCGACCAAGGATGAAAAACGAATTCTGTATAGCGCTGACAAAAGAGGGGGAAAGTGCTAGGCAGACAAAATGCTTGTGTGCAAATACGCTACCAACAGATTTAACAAACTGCGGTTTCGCTCGCAGCGCAGTAATTCCTCACAAACGCGAGCTGGCGTTCCAAAGTCTGCAACAAGCGCTGGGCGTCCGCGATAGGAAGCTGTGCTACGCGGCTACGAAAGTGCGAGGCGTTGCGAGCATACTCTTGCTGCTGTTGCTGCTGCAGATTACCCGCGTCAGTGGGAGCGGTGGTCTTGACATCAGTGCCTTGCTTGTCATCATGCGTAGGCGGAGATGGGAGCTTCGCAGCTGCAGCCTTGCTCAGCGGGGTCATCGCGGGCGTGGGAAGCTCGGATTTGATCGCAATGGCGTGGTGGGCTGTCGGTACGCTGGCGGCGGTCGAGGCAGGCACGGCCGGCGCCATCGAAACCGCAGACGCGTGCGGCGCTGCGCGTGCAGCGGGTCGCGAGACCGACGGCCGGATAGGGCCGCCGCCGCCGGCAGTAACTCCGCCATCACGTGGTCCACGGACAGTAGTCGGGCGATTGCACTGATACTGCTTGAAATACAAGCCTAGAAGGAGCACGCAAATTAGATTCACCCTGGTCGGTACCACCCACACAAGCAGAAAAGGCCCGAGTATACATACCGCATGCATTGCAAACGCTGTGACGCTTATCAGCCGTGCGCCTCCAAAGTGGAGTCTTGTGCGTGCCGCAATTGTGGCAAGTCAAGTTGCGCGTGTTTTCGCGCAACTTTTTCCTTTCAGCCTTGGTCAAGGGGCGCGGCGGCGGCGCTTCGGCAGCAGCACCATCCTCGCTGCCACTTCCGTGACCAGAGAGCAGAGGCGAGGCCGGAGGAGTGAACACGAGAATGTTGGGTTTGGCAGTAAGTGGAGCAAACGCCGACCGAACGAGGCTTTCGGCCATGTCGGCTGCAGCGGCAGCAGCAGCAGCCGCCGCGGAAGCAGCGAGAGGCTCGTACAGAAACTGGTCTTG